TTATAAAAGAATGTAAATATTTATACTTTCCCACATCATTTTCGATGTATGCAGAATGTATGCGGGAACGAATTTCAAAATATCTTAATATTTCATTTTCGGTTTCGGCTTCGGTTTCGGCCGAAATTCATTTTTAATCTTCGGCCTTTTTTCGGTTTCGGCCGAAAGTCATTTTTAAAATTTCGGCCTTTTTTCGGTTTCGGCCGTAAGTCATTTTAAACTTTCGGCCTATTTTCGGCTTCGGCCGAAATCAGAAAACCACTTTCGGTCGGTCTCTAATCAACATACACCTACTATATGTGTAATCCAATTCAGCTTATGATAGCATAGACAGGAAACACCTGTGCGTTGTTCTCCTGGAACTTGGAGTCCCTAACAAACTTATCCGACTCATACATATGACGATGGATAACTCCAAAAGTAGAATCAGAGTACAGAGAGAGTACTCGAGAGAGTTCCCCATTAATCAGGACCTCAGACAAGGAAATCCATGCATCCTTTTTAACATAAATTAGAAAAAGGCATTAGAAACATACGTGTGAGCACCAGAGAGGTAATACAGAACAACCATAAGGAACTTTATATAGCCAGCTATTGCAGTACCTGGCATACACAGACAATATAGCGCTGCTTGGTAGAAACAGCAAGGATATAATTAAAGCTTTCAGGGAACTTGAAGATGTCAGGGTCAAAGCTGGTCCTAGTGTAAAAAAAGCGAAGGCAATATATATGAAAATGTCAGGAAATACGCACACTGGTGACAACATCAATATGAACAACCACACCTTTGAGAGAGTAGCTACTTTCAAATTTAATATCTATGGGGTGACTATAAATTAGCAAAAGGGAATTACAATCGGAGGTGAAAGAAATGATACCGGTAACAGGATGCAACCGTTCTTGTTTCAACTTACAAAAACTACTACGAAGCAAAAACCTCTCTAGGGGAACAACGAATGCAATATACACCACTATCATAAGACCAGTAGTAACTTAGGTAAGTGAGAATTGGTTCCTCCCAGAAAAGCAGAGAACCTGCTCAATAGACCTATATGACCCGATGATATACAATTTTGTTTTGGGAATCCGTACAAACCAAGAGCTATATCTATTGTACAAATACCCGTTCAAGATGTTTCTGCTTGACTAAGTGTGTCATACAAATGTATATATTTTTTTTATTTTATTGAAGAGTAATGTGTTGGTTTTGTTTTTTTTTTTTAGTTTTTATTTAAAATATTTTTGGGGTAAACTACATAAAAAATCATGGATTTACTACAAAATATTTTTAAAATTTAAAAAAGAATTCCTTCCAAAAAAAAGGTATCCATCACATAAAGGAAATGCTCAATTAGTTTCACATTTTGAACGAAAAAATAAAAACCAAAGACATACATTCATTTCTAAATATTTCCAAGCTAACCAAAGTTAAAAAGAAAAAAAAAAGTTTTCTTTAGAAAGGGCGATACATTTTTATGGGTTTTCAAAATTGGTATTTATTTATAAATCGTATGTAACAGACAAAACTGTTAAGAAGTCATGAGTTGTTTACAAAAGACATCATATATTTGTTTATGTATGATTTTTTTTTTTTTTTTGTGTGAAGGAAATCGTATAAAAATAAAGTTTTAAATTTTCAATATTCATTTGATTCATTTGATTCAAATGTTAATTTAGATTTTCAAACTACCGTAGTATAGTTAGCGTCACATCAATCACAACTTTCCTTTTCGATATTATACTTAAAATCAATTTTATTACCAATTCAATAGAATTTATTTTTAACTACTACCAAAAATGGAATTTACAAGATAATCGAAATACTAGATATTTTTTTTTGTATTTTCTTTTTTTAAGTTGTTTAAATATATATATGCTTTCTACTGTATTATCAATTAAAAATAATTTTTTTTAAAAATTAGTTCAAAAAGTTGGGGAAGATTGTTTCTTATTCTCATATTAAACAGAGAAAAGTCGTTGGGGATGTAATACATAAAGGCTAATTATTATTATTATTTTTTTTTTCATAAATCATTTTACTCTGTTGTTCCCGAAATTGTGTCACAAAATTAGAAACGCACTTGATTTGATAATAATTGATGAAATGTCCACTATTTGTATGCAGCCGTTAAATTCCTTATATATATATTTTTTTAAATATAGTTTTTTTTATTGTTGTTGTTTTTTTTACGTTTTCATTTTATCCAACTCAATATACATAGATGGAATCTACTACATTAAAATGTATGCTAAAATGCATTTTTTTCAAAGCATAATGCTATTATACATTTTATAAATAACACTTAACACTTTAACAGTCATGCTTTTATGATCAAATAATATTATTTGAAAAATGATTGCACAATGTTATTACTTAGCAAGAACTATATTCACTTCAGAGACATTTATATCGATGTAAAGGTAGCTTAATACAGTGTTATTAAAGTCTTCCAACTTGTGAAGCTGCAAAATATATTTAAATAAAAATACCGATACATACGATTAACAAAAGTAAGATCTTGTCCTATGATCAGGAGCAGCCAATTTTCTAAACAATACGATATTTATAATCTAATTCTGTGAGACTGCAACAAGATTAACCCGAACGATATGGATC